AGTTTGTATTGTCAAGGCGACCTTACAGACTACGCGCAACACAGCTGATGTGGTGTTGACAGAGTTGAAACAACCCCAAATGAAAGTCGTGGGCTGAGTGGGAATATGAATTTTACATGCACCATATTGTTAGGAAGAAACACCCTCATCGTGATATTTTCAATTTCGTTTGTTTAGGTTTAAAATTTATCTATCCATATTGCTTTGAACGTGAAAGAGGAAATGGAAAATTTATCAATGTTTGAAGAGGTGATCGGTAGGCCGAAAAGGTGCAGAATCATTGTTTCGTGTTATTCAATAAAAATCACACTTTTTCTGTAATTTTACTCAAGCCATATGCGCATGCACATACCATTTACGAAGAGCCAACAAAAGAAGAATTAAGAAAAGTGTCTCCTCACTCCGCACTCCCAGTATAAAAGATGAGCCGAATGCCCAACTAACCAGCCGGCCGGCGTTTTTCTCCCATTTGGGCAGTAAACAAAAAGCTAACTGAGCAGCCTTTTAAAGTTTTATGTTTAATGTGCTTTCCTAGCATTCACATTTTCAATTATTTCACTTTTCATTTTTGCTAATTGTTCGTTGGTAATTCATGCGGTACACACCTACGGTTGGACATGAGTGAGGCAAAAGCGAACACAAGCGAGAGATGGCAATGGGAACGCGATTTGCCCGCAAAATTGTTGACCATAGTGCGAAACGAGGGTGATCTTGTATTCACGGTGGTTGAACACCCACGCTTCATACATTTAGTGTTTATTTTAGGCATTCTCACTCCACCGAAGCAGAATCACTTCCGAATTGGAATTACAATAGTACGAGTTTTGTCACTGCATTGGCGATGAACAACCATTGTTTGTTGTTGTGAATTAACACGCTCCAGCGGGCACATACACACGCGCGTACTAATATTCACTTACTTACACATGCACTTAGATACAATTTTATCTATTTTTATTTCGAGGGATTTGGTTTCGTTTAGCTTTCGAGCCCAGCTCACAGAGACCCCAGCGCGAACGCTGAAAGGCCAGCACAAATAATTTATATTAATTGTTGTTATTATTTCTGTGCGTACAAATTCGTTAAATTAAAATGCGTAGCATGCAGACAATGCAACTCGAATTGTTGGAGTGCAGTTCTATGACTTTAGAATTATGCGTCTGTGTCGTGCGTCTGCATTTTTCTGTAGACTGTAGTCTGAGTTGTGACGCCAATGATTCAGACACTTTACTGCCATGTCGTGCCGTTAATCGAACTGAGTAAAATGCACTGACGACTATTATGCAAATGCAAATTACTTTATTTAAGTTGGATAGCAGAGTGTTTGATTAAGCAAGTCACGCTTCACCGCTGTCCATCGTATTCGGAACTAAAATAAATCCCTTAAATATGGTACTAGAGAAAAACAAGTAGGGAAGGGCTAAGTTCGGGTGTCACCGAACATTTTATACTCTCGCATGATAAAGTGATAATCGAGATTTCATTATCCGTCATTTACATATTGTTTTATTTTGCTGTAAATAAATTAGATTAGATCAATTTGTGTACTTTGAGTATTGAATTGTATTTTCATTTATTTTAATTGCATTGAAAAGTATAGTCCGATCACGACAATTTTTCCACACGGGATACCTCAGCTCAAATACCGTATTTGTGTAAAGTTTTATTCCGCTATCATCATTGGTTCCTAATGTATATATTATACAGAGAAGGCATCAGATGGAATTCAAAATAGCGTTATATTGGCACGCCTTCTTCCAACCGATGATTGTGAACCGATTTCACCCATATTTCGTATATGTCATCAGGGTGTTAAGAAAAAATACCGAATTTTATAGAAATCGGTCGAGTAGTTCCTGAGATATGGTTTTTGGTCCATAAGTGGGCGTCGSCACGCCCATTTTCAATTTTTAAAAAAAGCCTGGGTGCAGCTTCCTTCTGCCATTTCTTCCGTAAAATTTAGTGTTTTTGACGTTTTTCGTTAGTCGGTT